GATCCTGATTCTCACGGATGAACTCGATGAGCGCGCTTTCCTATTTTGGATCCAAGTTGGCACTGACGATGAACTGTTTGGATGAGTCGCCTGGCACAAAATCAACCATTTTGGTGTCATCAGCCGACTTGAACTTCAACACCGGTTCATGCTCCGTAGTTGGCTTCTTCAAAGACATCATGTCCGCCGGGTCAACATTATCTTTATAAAACTTCAACTCCTCTGTCACTCAAACAGACTCTGCATAAGCGGCATCTCCTTCTTCACACTCCAGGGCTATTTTCCGGCTTTCATGTACTGTAATGGTGCCTTTATAACCCGGCATCTTGAGCTGCAGATATACATAACACGGCCGGGCCATGAACTTGGCGTAAGCCAGCCGTCCAAACAGAGCATGATATGGGCTTTTGATCTTAACCACCTCAAAAGTTAACTTCTTAGCCCTGGAATCATATTCATCCCCAAAGGCTACTTCCAGTTCAATCTTACCAACTGGGTATGCCGACTTGCCAGGTACAACGCCATGAAAAACAGTGTTGGATTGCTTAAGACTCTTATCAGTCAATCCCATCCGATGGGACGTCTCATAGTAGAGGATGTTGATGCTACTGTCTCCATCTATGAGCACTTTAGTGAATTTATATCCACCAACCTGAGGTGCCACTACCAAGGCTAAGTGAGCCGGATTATCAACCCGGGGAGGATGATCTTCTCTGCTCCACACAATAGGTTGTTCAGACCACCTCAAATAATGTGGAATCGCCGGCTCAACGGCATTGACAGCCCTCTTATGAAGCTTCTGGCCCCTCTTGCATAAACTAGTGGTAAATACATGGTATTGCCCACTATTCAACTGTTTTGGGTTGCTCTGGTATTCGGACTGTTGCTGCTGATTACCTTGGCCGGGTTGTGGATTATAACCTCCCTGGTTACCCGTATGGCCCTGACCGTGAAAAACGCCTCCACCTGAACCGGCGCCCGGGCCATGAAAGCCGCCTCCGCCTGAACCGCCGTCAGGCCCGTGACTTCCATCAAACGTGTTTGAATTTTTGAATGCCTTAATGATTGTACAGTCCTTCCACAGATGGGTGGCTGGCTTCTCCCGGGTGTCGTGTCTTGGACAAGGTTCATTCAATAGTTGCTCGAGGATGGGACCTGACCCGCCTGACCGAGGGGGTTGCCTACCCTTGCGCCGTTGATTGTTGCCCTGTGCATTGGTGTTAGCCACAAATTCGTCAGTCTTGCGTTTATTATCTCCTTAATTTGTCGGGTTATGATGGTGACCCTTGCCGTTGCCGTTCTTCTTTCCCTTCCCTGTTTTTTCTTCATCAGACACGGGGTCCTTGGTACTATCAGAATCAGCATACTTGACCAGAGCCACCATCAGCTGGCCCATGTCATTGCAGTCACGCTTGATCCACCCTAGCTTCTGCTTTAGAGGTTCAAAACGGCAAGTTTTCTCCAACATTAAGACTGCCGAGTCGGCATCCATCTTATCAGATGAATGTATTATCTCCTTGACCCGGCGCACCTAATGGGTTGTGGACTCACCTTCCTCTTGCTTACAATTAGTCAGGTCCACGACTGACATAGGTTGTTTGCATGTGTCTTTGAAGTCCTAAATGAACTGGGCTTTTAATTCCGCCCATGAGCCAATGGAATTGGGGGGTAATCCCTTCAACCAAGTGCGAGTCGTTCCATCCAACATCATAGTGAAATACTTAGCCATTGCTGCATCGCTAACCTCCAACAGCTCCATCGCCATCTCATAACTCTTGATCCAGGCCCCAGGTTGCAAGTCGACCGTGTAATTAGGCATCTTACGAGGCCCCTTGAAGTCTTTTGGCAAGCGCTCATTACATATAGCCGGCACCAGGCAAGGGACACCTCTTGTTCTTATGGCTACTCCTGCCTCCACAGAGGTTGCTGGATAAGCCGGGAAAGTTTGATGAGCCGCCTGCTCAGCTGCCAGTTGAACCGCCCGCTCAGCCTCTTGTCGGATCCTCTCCTGATCCGCTAAGTTAAGGGCTCCAGCTTGCACCGGCTCATGCCTGCGCGGTTGGTTGCGGCGTTGAGCGTTGCTTGACATATCCGCTGAGTCCATATGTCTGCTATAGCTCGGGCTCCGTCTCAGATGAGGGGTTGAATGGATTCTGTCTCGACTGTAAGAGTACGCATCCTGCTGCGCCAGAGCCGTCTGAAGAAGTTCTCTCACCCTTCATGTTTCGATTCCTGTCGGAGAGTCGCCTTCCATCGGGAGAGCCGCCAAACGAGCCGATGCAGCAATGAGGTTTTCCAAAGGATTGGAGAAGTGACCTGGTGGTGTTGGCGCATAATGAGGCGGAGCGGTATACATGCGAGGTGGTTCCATGGCACGCGGCTGAACCGGTGCTCCGGGTATCGTGATTCGATTTGCCTCCGGCGGGTTACTTGGACCTGCCCCGGGTGTATGGAAAAGGTTCCTAGGATCGAGCGTCAGAGGTAGACGTGACTGAGTTTTCTGATGCCTTCTCCTCATGACCTCGTTTGACGCGTTCAGATCCACCGAGAGCCGGAAAGTCTCCGCTTGAAGCTGCTGAGCACGAGCGTCCAAAGCCACCCGCTTCGCGGCCATCCTGACCTCTTCTGCTGCTAAATTTTCCTTGGCCTGTGCCATCTCTTCGCGTACCCGTGCCACCTCCGCGTCATGCTGAACTTTATCCGCCGGCTCTATCACAACAGTCAACAGAGCCGTCAGCTTATCCATGAGGTCCATTAGCATCTGAGCCGGGGGGCGCGCGGGGTCTCCTGACCCGGCCGCTGCCGATCCGGTGGTTGTTGCTGCTGCAGCCGTGGAGTTCTGCCCGGGCTGAGTGCCTGCCATGAAGACTTCGGCTCGATTCGGCGGCTCAAAGGGGTCCGGAATACTGCTGCCATCGGAACAGCCCCCAAGCATGCCATCCTGCAACTGATACAAAGAATCCGTCTCGCCTATTGATGACGTAGCGTCGGAACAGATGGCCGTCTCACCGCCATCCACTGATCCTTCCGAGTATTCACCTCCATGTATGCAACCCACAAAGGCACGCTTTACAGCGGGTCGGGCCCGGGCGGGCCTCGCGCGCTGAGCCGTCTCGATGATGTTGGTGCAGACGTCCGGCTCAGGGCCCGATTCGCCGATCCGGCCAATGAAGACATGAATCCCGCCGAAGGGGACCCGGTACCCGTACTCAATTGAGCCGGTCTCGGGGCCCCAGCTTTCGTCGTCGATGTAGAGCTTGCCGCGACGACTCTTGGTCATCCGGCCCACAACGTATCCCTTGAGCCCTTCGAAGTTGCCCTTCAAGAATTCAAATCCACCGTGCGCTGGCCCCGCGGTGGGCGCCAACTGTCGTGGAATTGTCACGGCAGATATCCTAGCAAAAGGACTTAGTCGTACCTGATAGCTATATCCCCAAGAGAAAGGGAGAGGGATGATTTGACTTGTGAAGGCAAGAAAACAAAATCGAAAGGAGAAAATAACCGGTGCTTGTGGGCCAGATACAATAAGGCCGAGACATGTGCCTGGCCTATAGATACGTGTCGTGCGGTTTATATGAAATCCGGTCGTTTTGAATGAATTTCGTTCGGTTCGTTCGAATTGTTGGCCGGATGTATGCGGACAGTGTTGTATGGCGGCTCTCCGCATCTGTGTCTGCGACTGGTCCCCTCTCTTTTCACGGACGTATGCGGGAGAAAATTTACGGGTTGTTGTTGAGATAATAAAGGCCCATAGAATACGTGTCGTGCCTGAGAATCGGCTGATTTCTTTCCCGTTGAGGCCGTTTTACGAAAAGAAAGAAGAAAGTAAGAGCACCGGATGCACGATTCCATGTCGTCTCTCCAACCTCCAGTTCCATGCCGTCACGTCACCGCTCACGCCTGGAACCGATCCGAGCCAACTCAGTTCATGCACGCAGGCACGCCCGCCGCGACAGGGACCCGACGACGCACACGCACCCACCCACCTCCGCCCATCGCGTACTACAAATTACAGTAGCCGGAGACCCGACGGACGGCGTACAGTCGTCGTCACCCGCCGCGCCCAGCCTCCCGGTAAGAAGCCAAGCCAATCCCATCCAAGCCTTCCCTCCTCGTTCTCCTCGTGCGGGTGGATAGAGTAGAGTAGATAGGCAGAGTAGATCGACCGCGCGTCGCCGTGGACTCGCGGGGTTGGTGGTTTGGTGGTGCCATCCTCACCCGTGTGACCGGGTCCGCTGTGTGCGCAGCACAGCACGGTGGCTGGCTGCCTGACCGGGTCTGCCTCCATCTCCGGGCCTTTTTGTTCGCACCTGGATTATACTACTGCCATCCCCCGATTTCCCTGGGAAACGCAAAGTGTGCCTTCGTCGCCAGAGATCTAGCGCCGGTGGCATGGCACCTTCCCGTGTTCTTTCTTTATTTATAGCCTCAGCTCCCCACTAGGAGTTTTGTTTCCATCAACAAAACCTAACCATTAATTTGACCAGAATTATCCGCGTGAAATGCCGCCCCCCTAAATCTCGCAGCAGCAGAAATTGGGCTCGCATTTTATTTTCACACCAAATGGCTGCCAAAAACACTAGTAGTCCGTATTTTTTAGTCCCAAGAAGGAGAGAGAGAGAGAGAGATCAAGGCTTATCCTCCTCCTCCAGCGACCCGGCTGGGCCAAGAAAGTCCAGGGGAAGAGACAGAAAAGAAGAACAGAAAACAGTGGGAAAAAGAGGCCGGGCTCCTCGAATCTCTCACTAATTTTCTCCTTGTCTGCGTGCCTACGCCTTGCCTCCTTCGGGGTTGGTGAGCGAGCGAGCTCGGGATCAGTTGGGGACTACACACCCAGAGGTTGTTGTCCGAGAATTATTTAGGCCCGCCCCCTTCTTCCTTCCACGCCTTCTTAGCCTCGCCTCGCCTCGCCTCCCTTCTCTGGTCAGTCTTCTCGGATCTCCGGCTCAAATTCGTCTCCCCAATCCCCAGTTCCAGGTTCTTGGAGGAGGGGGGAGGCCATGGGCAGCTTCGCCAAGCTGGCCAAGAGGTGCGTGGAGACGGAGGCGCCGGTCATGGTGAAGGTGAGATAGACCTCCCCACCCCACCCCACCTCGTCAACAATCTCCTGCCTTTATTATCCCCAATTTCTTTGTCTTACTTGGTGGCCTCTTCCTGGTTCCCTTTTTTCTTTCAGATACAAGAGCTGCTTCGAGGGGTCACTGATGTGATGTCGCTTGCGCAGGTAAACCTGCCTGAATTTCTTGGCGTATTAACCTATCATTGTGTTTGTTCCGGTGTTGTTTGGGAAGATTCTAGGCGATAGGATTGCGGAAAGGAAAGAAAGACAAATGTAAACTAAAATGGATCATCTTGTCTGTAAATCTTTCAACGTGTAAGTTAATTCAGGAGTAGGTTACACATGACAACTTAACATGTTTCAGATAACACGACTATGGACTATATATCATACGCTATTTAAACAATGATTATATAGTATCAAGCATGGAGGATTGGAGATTGATAACTACACCCTCCGATCCATATTAATTGTCGCTGATTTGTGCCCCTGGTTCGGTTTCTTAAAATGGTGTTTGTGCAAAGTGATACACCCCATATCTATTTGTAACAGAAGCGTATCTGATATTTTCCTATCAAAGCGAGCAGGTCGTGCGTATTTACCAGAAATCGATCCGTTGTCTTCTTGTAATCTTGGGCAGATCTTGACTGTAGGGAATTGTTTATTGGCAACCTCCTGAGACAGCCCTGAACAAGGTCAAGGAAATTGTATGGGAACCAGCAACCAGTAAATATGGTGCTGATGATGGCCTTCCCGAGCTTCGAGAAGCACTTCTCGAGAAGGTACTTCTTTTCATCTGGAGTTATATATTGACTTATCATTGGATCATGTCCCCATGCTAGCAAGCCTTGCACACAAAGCCGTTACCATGCAAGACAAAAGCACCCATGTGCCTTCTGCTAACCCACTGTCATGTTAGTTTTTTACTAGACTAGAGGTATTTGATCTTAGTGCTAGGAGTAATAGCATGAATTGCACTTTAGTTGATTATTCATTAAAGGATAGCAGTATGCCATGTGTTTGCGATAACTATTTTGTATTCATTAACTGAGAAAACAAGTTGATTTTTGGTGTGCACTCTGAAAATGCTGTCTAGAAAGTTAAAAGTACCACTTGGATTTCATATGCAATGCGTTTACCAGCTTTCTTCATCCTGATTATCTTCCATAATCATGAAAATGTGATCCAGAAAGTTATTATAGAGTTGAAGTACCACTTGGATTTCATATGCAATGCTATCGTTTATCAACTTTTGAAATCATGAGCTAAATTGTTCCTTTGTATAAAACCTTCAATGCTTATGTAACTGTGTTGCTTACTGGGACAAGATTTTTTTTATAATGTTTGAAGGATTGCTATTATTTAACTCGACTCTTGTTAGCCCTATCCTTATTTCTCTACATTGTCTTCTTGGCACTATGAACAGTTAGTGTATTCTTTGCTGATTTTTTAGGGATTATTTGCAGCTTCACAGGGAGAATAAGCTAACCAAGTCATCGGTTATGGTGACTGCCGGTGCAAATCAGGTAAAGCACATTACTTTTCATCTGGTTTATCACAGCTTTCTCGTGCCTCTACTTCTTTTGCATTGTTTAGCATTTAGCTGTCAGGCCATAGGTTATTGTCCCCAATTTATCTCCTGTTTTAGTTCTATGAAATACTACCTGCTTACTTCCCTGTATGACTGCTACGCCAAATCTTGTATGAAATACCTGCTTACTTCCCTGTATGATTGCTACGCCAAATCTTGTTTTACAACTAGGTTTGTCCAATAAAGTGATCTCTTACATTGGTTCTTCTGTGTTTTGGCAGGCTTTTGTAAACCTTGTTCTGACCCTTTGCGATGCTGGTGATTCAGTTGTCATGTTTGCACCATATTATTTCAATTCCTTCATGTCATTCCAGATGACTGGCGTCACTGATATATTAGTTGGTGCTAGCAATCCCAAGACACTTCATCCTGATATTGGTAATATGACTACCATATATCTAATCTAAAATAAGTTTCCATACCTAGCTTATGAGTGCAATATATTTTTAGATTGTTAGATCAAGTGATGCCATAGGTCTTTGCCCTGTTATGACCTCTACATGTGGTCCGAGAAAATTTATACAGGTCGCTTGAAATTTAATTTGTTTGGAATGCATATTTTACACCGTGCTTAAAAATGCAGATTGGTTAGAGAAGGTGCTGAAAGAAAATAACCCTATCCCTAAACTTGTTACTGTTGTCAATCCGGGAAACCCTTCTGGAGCTTTTATTCCCAAGCCTATGCTACAGGTTAACTCTCTCCCCTCTCTCACTTATGGGTTCTCTTGTACGCCTGCACACACCCGCACACTTAACATGGAGTTGGCATTTATTATTTCTAATATTGAATTGTCATTTCAGAGAATTTCAGACCTGTGCAAGAATGCTGGTGCATGGCTGGTGGTTGACAATACCTATGAGTAAGTTAATACTGACATACATGCATTTGTTTGTTTGTGTTTTCTAAAGCTCCTCAATCATCTCTCATATTAAAAAAAATCAAAGAAGTGCAGCATAATGTTTTATGCAAAACAATGAGTCACACTTGAAAATTACCACCTTAAATCATGGTTAGAGTTTAGGAGGACTGGTTATTATAAGTAAACTAAAATATAAAAAAATGACTTTTAGTATACAATTTTAATGTGTATGCATAAGCTATTTCGGAATACATCAGAATGTAAAATCCCATTTAGCATTGTCTTTAAACAAAAGTCGATAAGCTAATTAACTGCTAATTTTATTGGTAGAGATTCTAAGTAAAGGTAATGCTAATGAACAGATCTATAGAGAGTGACTTGCTAAGATAAGGGATCTATGCTGTGCAGTGGTTTGTCAAATTTAGTTAAGACTCTCCTGCTCATAAACTTCGGAAAGTCCTCCTTTTTGGCGACAAGACAACTCTAGCAGAAGGATTGATGTTTTGGGTCACACTACACTAACAACCCGTCTGCCCCCCGTTGCTTGCGTTGAGGCGCATCTTGGCCTCATTGGTGCCTGTGACATTTGGCGGCGATAAGCTTGTCTTCCGCCATTCCATTCATGCATGTAGCATTGCATGATTCCCTCCTTGTCATGTATGGGGATGCTAGTGATTTTCATTTGCAGTATCACTGCCATGAGCCTGCTTGGTTGATCTACAATGCCTCAAGCAGGTGTGAGGGAGGTGGCTAGCACATCTATCGTTTGAACTTTGTAATAAAAAATCCACCTTTTGATGGTGTCGAAAATAGGCCCTCCAATTCACTTAAAGGTCGATTAACTAACAGGTTAGCCTTTAGGAGAGCGTTTTAAAAGCGAGGGGATTAGAATGAGCCCAAATCCCATGTTGAGTGATTAGTAAAGGACTTCCCCTTTCAGCCTCCAGAAAGCAATCCCAGATTAATCTTGTTATCGGGCAGCGTGGTGACCACTAAGTGGCATCGGAGGGAACAGGATCTGTACTTAGCCCTGTGATCACGCAATCAATATTTGGTTCATTTTCTCCTACTTTGCCCTTTCTCTACATCGCATATCGTGTCTACATCTGTACTTGACTGACTCAATAGTTGACTCATGAATGTTGATCTTGGTTTTGCTATTTTCTTTGCCTGATGTTGATGATTCTTCGCTCATGAATCACACTAATAATAACTTCATATACATATAATATGTATGGACTGACACATGCAACCCAGTAAATTCTTGTATACTTGAGTATTTGATGTGGAGGCGTTCAATTCCCCTATATTTTGTAGGCAATTTGTATTATACGATGCTTGTGTTTCATGTCGTCTTTTGCAATGGTTTTAGATTCATAACTGCACAGAAAATGGCTAATCTTCTATGTTGTATAAATAAATTGTGCGTGGCGCCTGTAGTTCAGTTATAATATTTACACTTTGGCTACAGTATAACTTAGATCTTGAACTCAGTTACAAAATTGGTTGGCCTTTTCCAGGTACTTCATGTATGATAAAATGGAGCACTACTGCCTAGAGGATGATCATATTGTCAACCTTTTCTCGTTCTCAAAGGCTTATGGAATGATGGGGTGGCGTGTAGGATACGTAAGTGTACCATGCTCTTTTCTATCTTTTGCTTATGCTTCAGTTGCTGTTATAGGAGTGAATACTGAACCTTTTCAGTTCCATATATCCTTTCCTGCACAAGTACTTTAATTGTTACTAAGTCAATACTTTTGGACCAGTGAATGCATTATTTATAAGTAACCAAAGCCGCTGTGCAATCTGTGTAAGTAAGAAGATGAGCAGTTAGTCTTACAAGGGCTGATCAATTGGCTGCTGCAGATCGCATATCCAAGCGAAGCCGATGGTTTCCACGCGCAGCTCCTTAAGGTGCAGGATAACATACCTATCTGTGCTTCCATCATCGGGCAGCGCCTGGCTCTATACTCATTGGAGGCCGGCCCAGAGTGGATCAGGGAAAGGGTGAACGATCTCGTGAAAAACCGCGAGCTGCTTGTGGAGGCAATGTCTCCCCTTGGTGAGGGTGCTGTCAAGGGTGGGGAGGGTGCCATCTACCTCTGGGCTAAGCTACCAGACAACTGTTCAGACGACTTTGAGGTTGTCAGGTGGCTCGCGACCAAGCACGGTGTCGCAGTGATCCCCGGGAGCGCCAGCGGAGGCCCCGGATACATCCGTGTTTCCTTCGGAGGGCTGAAGGAGGAAGACACGAGGCTCGCCGGCGAGAGGCTAAGGCGGGGTCTGCAAGAGCTGGTGACCGATGGGATGGTACAGTAACAACAGCCCGTCGTATGTAAGACAGTAAGAGTACATTTCTACATTCAGATCACACAGGTCCGATTTTTTCGACGATACGATTCTGCCGGGATTAGTTGATTCAGAGGAGCAAAAGCACCATATATCCAAGTCTTTTGTATCTTACAGAATCACCATGCTGGAGGTGCCTGATGGGAATGGCAATTGGTGTACTGAGAATTGGGGCAAAATAAAAAAAGCCGCGCAGCCCCCGTGTCGTAATTCTCCGTTCGGTACTTCCTGCCGTTTAATTTACCCTTTCCCCCAGCAACTGTACACAAGTGAAATACGACAATTATAAGGTGCTTTTACACGCCTTCCCTGAGCCGTCTGTGTTTCCTGTTCTTGGCTTGGCTTGCAGTTTCATCAGAGCCTGGAAACTGAAAACACCGCAGTTTCTATAGCTGACATAACTGATGCTTCGACGAACAAACCGACCAGGTGTTTTCTGAACATGAATGCCCATGTTCAGTAACTTGGTCGTTTTGCTATGCATGCCTCTTAAGTTCTGCTACCTGCCTAGTTAGTTTTCTTCTTGATCGAGTTCTGTTTTACTTTAATTCTTCACAGCTCTTGCTGTTCTTAAAGAATTTGTTAAAATCTCCCGTTTAACCCCCGGTTGATAATTTTGATTCTACACTAACAGAACCAACAAGTGTTTGAACATGAATACCCGTGAGCACCAATGCAAATCCATATTTGTAATCCCAACTCAACTAATGAATAAACGTTGCTGTGCCCTCTGAAAAAAAGGTAATGTTGTTGCACTCTTGAAGACTAGAGTGTGATAATTCTTTTACCAACTCGTTTCAAAAAAAAAATTTCTTTTACCAAGAAGAGAAGTTCCTGTAAAGGCATACAGATTGTCCCCTGAACAGTGGCTGCGGATCCAGCTGCCTGTAAATAGTATGATCCCATGACGCCGAGGCATCAGGGCTGGTTGGGCTCTCAGTCTCTCCACCTCATGCATTTGTAGCGAGTTAATTGCACAGAAGTATCATAATTGGGACATTGGAAGCAGATTGGTATCAAGATTGGTACTTCCTCTGTTCACTTTTATAAGACCTTGAAAACATTTCAGACAATGTGCAAAATAGCCTATTTTGAGTTGTCTGAAACGACTTACAAAAGTGAACGGAGGGAGTAATTTTTACGTGTCAGTACCAAGATTGGGGCGAGCCATTGCAAAAAAGACTAAAAGTGCGTTTTGTACATATTGACGGTGTATCTGACCAGCAGGGCCCCCCGTCAGGTGCCGACGTGGCATGTTTTTTCTAGAAAACCCCCTTACGTTGTATGTAATCACAAAAATGCCCAATTTTTTTGCGGGAAAAAACCTACATGAGAGGCATTGTTTTTTGTTTGCAATTTTCCACCACGGAATTTGGACTGGTTTGAAATTTTCCGCCACTTGAACAAATAAATAAAAGAAACAGAAAACCCGGCGAGGCGGGAATCGAACACAGCGCAGCTCGCGTTTGAACACAGGCGTTCCCTTTCTTATACCATGTCTGAAGCGCTGGGCCGGCCCACCGAGGCCTGCATTATTTTTTCGATTCGCACTTAACTGCCGCTTGTGTTGGGCTCGTTCGTAAAAAAATTGAGCATTTTTGTGATTACATATAACGTAAGGGGGTTTTCAGCAAAAAACATGCCACGTCGGCACCTGACGGGCGGGCCCTGCCGGTCAGATACACTGTCAATATGTATAAAACGCACTTTTAGTCTTTTTTACAACGGCTCGCCCCAATCTTGGTACTGACACGTAAAAATTACCAATGTTAGTATCAATCTGCTTTCAATGCACCAATTATGATATTTCTGTGCAATTTACTCATTTGTAGCAGTATCACTTTCATCGTACGTGCGTACGTACGTATACTGAGCGGTCACAGCGACACGCCATCCGCATGCTCGTGACATCAACGCCGTTCCGTGATGGGAAAAGGCCAATGGCAATTTCAGTCTCTGAGAAGGAATTAAGAGCCGTCCTTTTCCTCTCTGCACTTATGGAAAGAAGCGTGAACGCGATGTGGTGTAGCGGCGCATCAATGGCGTGAAAACGACTGGAAGAAACGTAGCGGTATCAGCATCAGGCTGGTAGCAGGCTAGCAGCTGTGCTGGAGAAGTATGGTACTCCTACTAGACATGAGAAGCTGGTAAAAAAAATGGTAGGTTTGTGTCCAAAACAAGCCCACCTATCGGTTGCTGTTCGTTGCCAAAGTTTGGGCGTGCATGCCACATATGGCAGCTTGCTCACTTTGCTTCGTTTTTTCTTGCCAGCATTTGACCAAACCCTGGCTACCTAAATTCACTTTGGTTTTGGTTATAACTTGTCCTTGCAAAAATTGGGCTACCTAAGTTTTTTTTATTGGGGGTAGGTTTGTGACGAAATCAAACACCCACCGAAGGCCAGCGATAATAGTAGTACGCGCAGTGGTCAGGTCACAGCAATGGTTGCAACAGCAAAGGGCGACCACGAGCACCGGCAGGTGGACGGGACGGGTCAAGCAAGAAAATGTTTTGTTTTATTTCGCTGCTGTTGTTGCCGTGTCCGTCCATCAGGCGCATTCAAGCCTTGAAGGAAAAGGCGAGGCGGCCAGCCGCGCCACGGCGAGTAAATGGGCGCAGAAGAAAGCAGGTGGCGAAGCACTGCAGGCGCAGCCTATCCTCGCAAACGCAACGCAACGCAGCTGCCCCGATTCAATGCCATCAAAGCCCCTGAATTATGGGGTGCAAGTGCAACATGTGTTACTAGTACTACTACTACCAGTAGTCAGTAGAGATTTTATTTATGAGGTCCGGCGTGTCGTGTGTAGCGTGGTGCAGTGGCCTGCGGACGGACGGACGCACGCAGCAAAGTGAGCGAGTTTAAGGGGGTGAGGTCAAGGTCAGTCAACCGCTGCCAATATCCCCAACCAACTTCCTCATATAGTAGCTGTATTAAAACTCTTGAGCAGAATTGCGGGCTAATCTACAGGGACAAGGGAACAAAACTTGTGTGGGCAGACTGCGGATGCACCAACTTCCTCATATGGTAGTTCAAATGCTTATAGTGGTACTCAACTCTTGAGCAGAATCGTGGGATAATCTACAGGGACAAGCAAACGCCAACAGTTGCGGAGCAAAGTGCAGATGCAACCAGAGTAATGTACTACTACTACTACATCTGTATATGCATGTTCACGTGCTGATGCTGGCAATGCCAGCCATTTCCAGTTGGTTGGAATTGATGGTTGGTTGATGATCCCTTTGTCGACCGGCCGCGGGCACATAGACTGTAGCATGTACGTATGCCGACTCACTGTGCGCGTACAACTCGAGCTGTGCATGGATATGGGCAGGGAGGATCGATTGGACCAGATCGTTGGCTCTGATCGTTTTGCTCCGCAGCCTGGGGTGCTCCGCAGCCTGGGGTACTTCTCGTGTGATTCCGACGCCAGTAGAGGGTTCAACGGGATCCGGCGGCACGTCGACATTCGTGCAGGGAATCCCATCTCCTCGCATAGGATCGAAGGCGAGGATTGATCTTTATTTGGACATGGCAACATCGAAGTGTTGACTAACGTGATTCTATTAGGAAACATAGGTTAGATTAGGAAATATTCTGACTTGCCTTATATTTCAAGTAAATCATGTACTCCTATATATATGCCCACGAGGCTCAAGCAATATAACAATTATTCCACCAAACCTCTATTTCCCTTCTAACATAGTATCAGCCTAATCACGGTCATGGTTTTCCGGTCTCTGTGATCCGGTTTGCGTCGCCCACCACCGTCGTCGATCCCGTGCGCCTCTACTCCAACATCGACGCGATCGGTCGGCTTCTTTACCGACCCGACGGTCTCACGCGTCGTCCGCGCGTCTGTCCATCGGTCGCCCTGATCCGGCGGCCTCGCGCGGCGTCCGCGCGTCGGCTTGCCGGTCGCCCCGACCCGGCGGCCTCGCGTCATAAGGCGACTCTTCACCACCGCCGTTCGCGCGACGGCCCGTCCGTCGATCTACGCCGGCCGTCACCGTCCTGCTCCGACCGGAACTCCTGCATCATCCCGACCCGGCGGCCTCGCGCCATGCTACGACCAATCATAGACGCCCCGCCGCTTGCCGCCGCCGGATTCATCTCGAACTCCGCCACTACCGCGCCTCCACCGAGCGGCGTCCCTGACCTCGCGCGTGATCGGATTGATCACCCACCCCCCGCCGCGATCTGCCTCGTCTACGCCGTGCGACCGACCTGGCCCGTCGGTTGCGCGCGCCTCCGCAGGCCCCATGAAGACCGTCCTGAGTTCAGCGCGTCCCTCTACCGATCGAGCAATGGGTTGCCGCTGCGTCGCCCCGTCGGGCCGCAGCGCCGCCGCCCCGTGGTTCTTCTCCTAGCTGCACCGACCCGCGTCACCGCCGTGTCGCCCCTTCGGGCCGTAGTACCGCGGCCCGCGGTCCACCGCCGCCCAGAGGCCGTCCGCTCCAGGTCGTCCCCGTGGCCGCACTGACCCTCACGAGCCATTGCGTCGCCCCGTCGGGCCGTAGCGAGCGTGGCACACGGTCCACGCCGCCGTCCAGAGGCCATCCCCGCGGTTGCACTGACCCGTGCTCCTCCGCCGCGCCGCCCCTTCGGGCTGTCGCGTCGCGGCCCGCGGTCCCTGCCGCCGCCCCGAGGTCTTCCGCCGTCACCCCGACCTGCCCGCCGCCGTTGCGTCGCCCCTTTGGACCGTAGCGCAGCGACCCACGGTCCACTTCGTCGTCCACGCGCGTTGACTTCCCGTGGTATGCGTCGCGCCGCCTCCCTTGGCGCGGGAACGCCACCGTCCGCGCCGGTCTCCGTCATGCTGTCGAGTTCTTCGCCTACTTCGAGCATCGCCGCCGCGCTCCTAACCTAGCCGCCGCCGCCGTCAGGCCGCCGCCGCCGCTCTTCTTTGGTCGCCGCTGCCGCTACCCACGTAGCCGCTGTTGGAAATATGCCCTAGAGGCAATAATAAATTAGTTATTATTATATCATATTTCATTGTTCATGATAATCGTTTATTATCCATGCTAGAATTGTATTGATAGGAAACTCAGATACATGTGTGGATACATAGACAACACCATGTCCCTAGTAAGCCTCTAGTTGACTAGCTCGTTGATCAATAGATGGTTACGGTTTCTTGACCATGGACATTGGATGTCGTTGATAACGGGATCACATCATTAGGAGAATGATGTGATGGACAAGACCCAATCCTAAGCCTAGCACAAAGATCGTGTAGTTCGTATGCTAAAGCTTTTCTAATGTCAAGTATCATTTCCTTAGACCATGAGATTGTGCAACTCCCGGATACCGTAGGAATGCTTTGGGTGTACCAAACGTCACAACATAACTAGGTGGCTATAAATGTTCACTACAGGTATCTCCGAAAGTGTCTGTTGGGTTGGCACGAATCGAGACTGGGATTTGTCACTTCGTGTAACGGAGAGGTATCTCTGGGCCCACTC